CTCGGCCATAAAGATAATAGTAATGACAGAGGCTCGATTGTGGGCGGGGCTTGGGGAGCTTCGGTCACACTAGACCAAAAAGAGGACGGCGACCTCCCTGCAACCGCAACGATCTGACGGACCGCTGTGACTGCTACGTTCATCGCCGTGGCGATCCGTCTGCTGCAGCGTTTAGCTCACAGCCTGACCGAAAACATGACCACAGGCCACAAAGACCCTGACGAGCGTGCACGTGGAGGCTGCAGAGGGGCGCCTGGTGACATCATCAGCGTACCTGGTGCTCACCTGAAGCAGTCAAATGTCACGGCGGTGTCCATCCGATGACACGAGACCTAAACCCGCCGTCCGTTAGACTAACTGGCGCCGGGCTGAATATTTATCAGACGCGCTGACGTAAAGCGCCTCGTCCCCGTTCCTCCTCCTGATGGATCCGTACGAGCGACGAGCTGAGGAGTGATTTTATTTCAGGGACAGCCCGGAGCGAGCCGCTCGAGCCGGCGTGAAACGGTTAACGTGAAATATGTGTGTCAGGATTTCCCCTCAGGAGCGCTGACAGCGGCGGGTTCGGGAGGAAGTGGGGACGGTCTGATTTAGCGTCGCTCTGTGTGGCGGCAGGAAGAGAGCGCTGCTTTACAGCTCAGCCACCATCATCTCAGGTCGAAACAGGAAGTGACCTCACAGACACTCAGCAGCTCATCTTTTTTTAAGTCGGGAGAATCTCCAAACGTCTGCACTCACGACCATAAAGTCGCGTTGTGTGTATTTTATTATATTTAGATACAAACAGGCGTTCGTACCATGAACGAGTCGATACCAGAATTAAACACGCAGGCGATGGAGAGTCTGACACGCTCACGTCACACGGCGACCTGAGTGAACGACGCCGGGATGGCGATTCCTCCAATTCTGAATAAGTTTAAGGTTCCCTGAAGGTTTGAGTCGATGAAACCGGGAACGCTGAGGTTCACAGCAGAACGGTCGCAGGTCAAAGGTGCCTCGCTCGGACTGATGACGGCAGATTTGCTCCTCCAGCGCTCAGAGCAGCGGCTCTGTCGGCACTCGTGGTGCTGATGCTGACCTCATGATGCTTGTTTCTATGGATACTGCCCATCATTGTGTTGGAAACATTATCTAAGTCAACCTTTCAGTGAAAATGAGACTCGTATTTCACAGCTCACCTGTGTGTGTGTGTGTGTGTGACGCAGGGGTAAGGAGCCGCTGAAAGACAGCGTGGTGTCCACCTACGAGGAGCACGAGGACAGCGTGTACGCAGCGGAGTGGTCGTCGGCCGACCCGTGGCTCTTTGCTTCGCTCAGTTATGACGGACGGCTCGTCATCAACAGAGTCCCGCGCGCCCTCAAATACCGCATCCTGCTCTGAGCGGGGTCGTGCTGCCTGTGTGTGTGTGTGTGTGTGTGTGTGTGTGTGTGTGTGTGTGTCTCTGTGTGTGACAGGCTGTGTTGATGCTGACCACTGTAAAAACATTTGTGTTGCTTGGAAGTAAAAACTGGCCGATGGATGATGTTTGTGTTTGTGTGCTTCTTTAATGTTGGCTGTGACGTCAGTGGGCGGAGTCACAGCTACGCAGGGCTACAGATCCAAACACGGCTGAGACGGCGCCGTCTTTTCTTCGTGACAACAAATCTTTAACAAAAGTGTTGTTTAGTTCTTGTCATAATTTAGCATGTAAGCTAGTTTTAGTCCAAACTCGACTCAGTTTAATAAAAGGTGTAAAAGTTTGCCTGCAATCTTTTTACGTCCACCAGGGGGCGAAACTATGGCTGCAGAAAGGTTTCTGACGCTGAAGAAGAAACGCCCCTCGGAGTCTTTGGGCTCAGTCGCTGATTTCATCGCTGACTGACAAACTCACGTCGCAGGTTTTGGTCCTTGTAAGCGTCAGAAAGGAGGAACGTGCTGATTGGCTAACAACGAGCCAATGAGGGTCCCACAGTCAGAAACACCTCTCGCTCACCAAGATGGCGATTACAAAACACACCACACGTCTTAACAATGCGACGTCATTAAGCAGTGATGTCACTGTGGCTACCTCCATCTTTTATATACAGTCTGTGGTTCTGGCCCATCAGCGCACCAGCATCAGAACAGGAAATATTTCCACTTCCTCTAACTTCGCTCTCCTGCCGCCCACGCCGTAGTCCCCCCCTCACTGTGGATTCGTACAGTGCGTGCCGAGGCCGATCGATGGCGGCGACAGTTGGAGGCAGACGGCTCTGACGGGCCTTTTAATTGCAGCTCGACTCCAACCATCACAGCTCCACACACAGTGAAGGCGGAGCCGTGCACTTCATTAGGTATGCCAGTCAGCGCCAGCAGAGCTGCGGCTGAATACTCAACGCATGCATCTGTCTAATCACCGAGGCTGCTCACACACGCACTCGGAGGCCTCGTTGCCCCGCAGTCAATTATTAAGAAGAGGGATCAGGGTGGAGATGCAGAGGGACGGCGAGCGTCGCCTGCTCCTTCCTGTCGCGTGCAGACGTGTGAGGGCGAGTGTGACACGGTATGAAATTATGAATGCAGCTTTCTGACCCATCAGTCAATCC